GATCTCCATATATTAGCCACTCATCCAGTCGTTCAAAAGACATTATGGTTGTACCATCAGCGTATCGCATATACATGGCAATCTACATGACTGCAGAGGGCGAATTGCACAGGCTATTTACAACACCAGAACGTCGCTTTATATTAATTAACGACGTTGCATTCAGGAGAGCTTCAACTCCTTCACAGTAAACAAATCTTATTGCGAATGCTCGTATAGATTGCTGTAGAATATGCAATCCCGGACTACGATACGAATGTATGCTATTACATGCGACCATTGTGCGGATCTGGATGGATTAGATTCCATAATTTATAAGATACTGTAGGCAAATTTGAACAGCAGCCTTGTTACCCAGCGAAGTTTAACTCATAATCGCGTCAAGTTTCTGAGAAGAACAGTACCGGCACAGCAAGTTCGAAACTTAATTCTACAATTATGACGATACATTCGCGTAGTATACAGTCTACAAGCTGACAATATGCAAGTTTATTGGCGATACCTTATAGTCTAAGAAAGTCGGAATTATATTCAAGCTCAGAAGACTTTCACTTATTGTCGACAGCCAGGGAAAATAATCCTGCCAGCATTAATATTACAGGTGAGTGAGGTATTACGCGCCGGAGGAACTTCGCTGCGTTTGTCAGCACAACTTCACTCGTAAAAGTTTGTCTATATGTGGCTCGCTCCGGGTAACTTCAAGGTTGAAGCCATAACAGGGCGAAGACCGAAACCCGCATCTGAATCGCTTCAATAATCAACGACGGCAAGAGATTTTATTATGTCACAAGGTTTTTCCTGCTACGGTGTCATCACAAGTATCCTCCAGGGCTATTTATTCACAAGAATGCTTAAATGGTCAGCTTGTTCTAGATTTTTGGTACCTGACAACGACACCTACCGTCGGCACGAGGTAACTATCCGGTCGATCTTAGTCTCACAGGTCAACACTTACGTTACAAGTGACAACTATATATCAGTAGAACGAGCGAAAACCTCCTCACCTGTCCAGTTAATTATTCGTTTGAACCTTCATGATTGGGCTGCTTTCTTCAGGTTAGGGTACTCTATCAAGAATGGAAATTTAGAAGGCTACAATGATGGCAGTCAGAGCAATTTTACATAAACTTATCCAGTGTTAACGAGGACAGACCGCACCTGGTTGTGCACCATTTACATCGTCAAGGACTTCGTGTCCATACGAATAACCTAGACGACGGGATAAGTGAATCTTGTGGACTCTAACAAACACAGCAGTAAAAGCGCCTCAGACGTTTGAATTTCAGCTGAATTACACATAATCGTTGCTACTAACACAACTAGATGGTTAATATGTAAACCTACTTAAACTTTCTGGATTGGAGAATTCTTCTAAACGAAGTTTCACCCTCCAACTTGTGGATTTCTTTTTGAAGAGAAATTCCAATACCTCACAAGTAAGTGAATACGCGGTTTCGATGACATACTTGGACTTCTTCATAGTTGATAAACATGATTCTATCACGATGGCTGTGCAAGACTCGTAAAATTTATTCCTTTTCATATTGTACTGAACTAAACAGAAGGAATAATACAACAGATTATTTCTATCAACTTAATGGGGTTTAATGAAATTCACACGCATCATTCGCTTATAACTTTTAGAACTAAAATATTTAATGTAAATTACGCATACAAGACGGATGGACTCAAACTAAAACGTCTCCATGAGTGAGCTTTTTAATACCATGATATATTAGAGTTAACCAAATATGCATGATTGATAATGTTAAACCATTGTTTGATATAATTTCGAGGTTTATTTTCTGGAGATCCGACATGGTATACAACTTTTTCGAGAGATATCATCAGTTCCAGGACGCCTCAGTTAAATTTTGGCGACCATCTTGGATCCCACGGTCTCGCACAACAAAGGATAGTGTTCTCGAGAAGATGTTGGAACCACAGATTTTAAACTCGCTATCTTATGTATAACAGCACAAAATAAAGGTTATATATGATTTGCTTTCATCAAAACTTTTAGACATCATTGGAAAGTACTATGATTATTACATCATACAAGTTATAAAATGCTAACAACTCTCAGTGTCAACAAGAGTTGGCTATTATATATTTACTCCTAACTTAATTATATCTCAAGCACAGCAATTATACTCAGATTGTAAAATATATAGCTTCAACAAACTCTCTACAGAGTTTGGGACATTTCATTATAGGTAGCTCCACTTCAAGCTTATTCATATCTTAAGCTCGTAGTAGTGGTTATGTTTATATCATATAAGATATTATTAGCTAACAAACTCTAAAGAGTTTTTAAGCATAGATGCGCGGAACATTTTGGCTTATGACAAGTCTCATCATATCTAAAGTGAATGTTTTGGCTCACATTATAACATGTATTAGCTTTTAAATGGTCAAACTCTAATTTTTGTTTATTATTGGTCAAATTATATGTTTCGATGTAACTTAAGATCATTTTCTGTCCATTCGTTTAGTACCATAGTCAGACATCACATAGGTATTTCTTTAGCTATCAAACTTCTAAAAGTATTTTTGCTATTATATCTCTGGTGGGCTTGCTCACTACAATCGCTGGTGCTACTCAGCGGTTACTATATACTTTGTATTAGCTAAGCGGTGAAACCACCTCCGCCCGTATTGGCAGCTATTATATATATGTAGCTTAGTTTCTTGCAGTGGGCTGGGCGTGAAGCGCCACAATCTTAAGCTCATCACTATAAGCTTTGATTATATTTAGTTAGTTAACAAACTCTACGGAGTTTTTAAAGACATCTATATGTAGTTTGCTGTTTCCATCCTTCATAAACTCACTCAGGTTTATACTCTCATATAAGTATATTAGCTAACATGCTCTATGAAAGTTTTGCTATTATATATGGCACCCAAAGGTTCCCTCTCATAAACTCACATACTTAAAATTCAGTGGATACGTATGTATTTTAGCTGTTCTGTTTCTAAAGAAATTTTTTGCTATTATCACATCTTAGCAGCAAATTTCATCATATCTAGTTAAGCAGTATGTGTTACATTTATGAAATGTATTAATAACAAACTCCATTGGACATTTTGCTTAATATAATTATATCTTTAAGTTCAGCAACCATTAATTACATTTAAGCTCAGTACTATGTGTTTATGAACCTCATAAAAGTATATTAGTTAATAAACTCTAAGGAGTTTTTTTTTTGCTATATACATTTAGCTTAAAGTCTAATCTTATCTTAAGCTTAGTAATATGGTTACATTATTAATCTATAAGCTAATAAACTCTGCAGAGAGTTTTGGCTATTATATATGTAGCTTAAGTTAATTATATCTTAAGCACAGTACTATACTCATATTGTAAAAAATATATTAGCTAACAAACTCTACAGAGTTTTGCTATTATATATGTAGCTAAAGCTTTATTCATATCTAAAGCTTTCAGCATTATATCTATATCATGTAAGTATATTAATCTAACAAACTCTAAAAGAGTTTTGCTATTATATAATTAGCTTAAGTTTAATCTGGTATCTAAGCTTAGTACTTATGTTTATATCTTAAAGGATTTTAGCTAACAAACTCTGGTAGGAGTTTATACTAGCATATTAACAAGCTTAAGTCTATTAGTCTTAAGCATTGTATTAATGTTATATATGCTTTATCATAATGTAGTACATTGTAATAACCTTTATATGGCAGCTGATAAGTTAGCAGCAGGAATTCATCAGTTCAGTACCTTTGTAATTTTTGAGTTCCATAGGGTTATTACAATCATCACAGTTCAAATCACTAATTATTAAAATCCAAAGTATTATATATTTCCCACCTCCTTTTCCGTCAGATGCTACAAATAAAGAAGAGCATGAGTCAGGATAAGGAAAAATATGTAATTTTTAGAGTAAAATTGATATTTTTATACTTATCCTGACTCATGAGGTAAACCCCTCCCATCCTCCCCACATAACACTTTGGATTTCCCTGTCCTGTAAATTCAAATGTTGGGCTCAGTATATGAGGAGAGAGAGTAGAGGCACATGGGTGGAGGTGGCGCCCCTCGTTCCCCGGGCGGATGGAAGGGGAGGTTACTCGTGCTGAGTACTAATTAGTGATTTTACATTGAAGGAGCTTCAATTAGGGAGATACAAGTGTTCCACTATGTTCGCAAGAAGAAGAAGACAAGCAAAAAGAGCATGAGTCAGGATAAGTATAAAATATCAATTTGAATTCTAAAATTACATTTTTGTCAATATTTAAAGTGATGTCATCTCGCAAAATATATGGAAATAGTAACTTATGTCATTAGGCGTATATACTGCAGGTCAAATATCTGTGTTTTATGCGGATTTCCGTTTGTTGATAGATCAGTGCCGGAGACCAGGGAGGAAAAAACAAAAACTGTTTTGTAAAGTCCCGCCGAACCTAACAAGTAGTCGTTGTCGGATTGGTTAAATTCGTTCGGCCGTCTCGCGTTATTGGTCATGGCTCAAAAGGTTAGCTGACGCGACCTTCTACTAGGTTTTGTTAGACTCAGTATAGCACTTTGCATGAATATAGGCAATGTTATGGGGTATTTCTGATCAATTAGTCTTTTTATGTCTAAATGACTCGTTATGTATTTTGAATACAATATATAGTTGCTTTGTGATGACATAACTGATTTTCTCTTGTAATCCAGATGCAGTGTAATCATGTCTATATTTATACGGTCATTGATGAATTTAATTTTGACAAAAATTGTGTTCAAGTTGCCTTGTCTATTTAAAAGAATCAGTTATCTAAATGTTTTCGATGTATTTGGAAAGTTTTTGTTTTTGTTTTAAAAAGGTGCTTTGCAAGAGAATGGTTTCATTGGGTTTATATATATATATAAAGTTTATCTTAATTTCTTAAGCACATTTGGGAGTTCAGAAAATGGATAAGGACTCTTTTCACTCTTATTGCTATGGACCTTGATAAAGGTATTTCTTATTATTAAAGCTTTTCTTATTATCTTGATATTCACAAATATGCCAACCTTACTGTGTTGTAACTTATACTTTTACAATTTCCTGTAGTAATACATGCTGCAAACATTTCAACCGTTTAGAACTTCACTTGAGGAATATTTATACATTTGAAGTGAATTTGAAAGTAACGGAATGTCAATCACAATTTACATGAAACCAGTAAGGCTGGCAGCACATTTGCGATACTTTTAATAGCAAATAAAAATATTGATTAAATACTCCTCTTTAAGTGTTTTTGTTACATTATCAATGAATACACAAGCTTTACTACACTCAGAGACAAATTCTTTTCGGTGTACAGTAATAAATAGCTTAAAGGTCAGTGATTAATAAACGGTTAGGACCACAGTTACATTTCTGGAAACCCTGACCGCCACAGTACGACAGCTGTCTGGAGAGACACTAAGTCTTCTCTGTCATTGTCCATACATTATTCATAGAGAGCAGACGTAGAGGACAAACATCAAATTGAGAACGCGTGAACAAACCTTTGAGGATGCCAGATTTCATGCCTATTCTATAATTGTTATTAGCATGGTCGTGATGCACAACCACACCAAGAATGTTCCTAGGGTCACCTCTTCCTCTGTCCACATTTGGGATCGCCACAGACACGGTGTCACCCTCGTTGCCTTTGGTGTGGAAGCCAATTCACTGATGTCACCTGGTGTGGATGTTGGTTCGGTGTCATTGGGTATGGATGTAGGTGTGGACGTCTGCAGGCTACTACAAAGTCGGAGTAGCTCTTCTGTTTCTAATCTTTCGATTTAGACATCCAAATAATGCTTCATGCTGACTGCACTTAATACCTGCATGAAGTGCCGAGTTCTTTAGAATTTGGAATTGAACGAACTTGATTCCTACGGTCCAATCGGTAGTGTTTTTGGTTGAGAAAAAGGCAGCCAACTTGTCTTTGATGTCCCCATTGGCTATCTCTACCGACCCCTGACTCTGTGGATGGCGTGTCTCTCCATGGACAAGCTTGAGTGATGGCCAGACGCTCTTTAATTCTGTAATGACACAAGAGGTGAACTCACTGCCATTATCCGACTGCTGTATGACAGGAGCTCCTAACATCAGCTGGCGGGCAACCTCTGAGCTCTCTTTTGGATGTGATAGCCCGAAGAACACAAAACTTGGTGAGGTGATCCTGGTAGACCATGCTCCACTTGCAGTTCTTGGCACGTAGACATTGCATATTAATCAGGTCGACTTGTTGAATTCTTTGCTGAGGATAGGTTTTACAACCCCACCTGTCGCGACTGACTTCTTGGATTTGCGCTGGCACTCAACGCAAAATGACCTTATGTCTCCAGAGCGTAGGTATTAGCGCACCTTTTGACAGTTCCTTCAGCATACGATCTCTGCCTCCATGACCAGTGGAAATATGATGATGTCAAAAGTCTCCTCCAATGTGGTGAAGTAGATAGGTGGCTCTTCGGGATTTTAACCTCCTTTTATCAGCTTCTCGACATCACCACACTGTGAAGCATCGTACTTGTGAAGCATGATAAATTCACATAAGTACACAGTGTGCCTAGCATGATATTCCAAGTAAAATGAAGAAAGCATTACCAAGAGAACAAAACTTCAGAGGGCAGAGACTGGAAAATGGAAACTTGATGAGATTAAAAAGAATTACTTACTTAGATAGTTGATAGTACAGATCGTGCTGCTTGGTGCCGGAACTACCGCTTGCGGACTTCAAATCATCCACGATTTTGTAGTATACGTCCTCTGGTAATGAGTGAGTTTAGTTTTACGCTTCACTCAGCAATATTCCAGCTATATGGCGGCGGTCTGTAAATAATCGAGTCTGGACCAGACAATCCAGCAAGCAACAACATGGGAATCGATCTTCGCAATTATGATACGATAACATGTGTCAACCAAGTCGGCGAGCCTGACGATGCGCTTCACGACAAAGCGTTGGTTACTGAAGATCAATTCTAGCCCGGATCTTCATTGGTCTGTAATAGGTGTAATGCAAGATGAGAGGCAGTATCCAGCTCCCACTTATCATAGACAAAATGATAATGGAGTTCCCTGAAACAGCCTCCAGAACCTTCTAAATATAGCACACAGCTGCCCCTCACTATTAAATCTACAGGTACATCAGGTGAAACACTGTTGCTTAACGTATAACACTGCTGCCCCTCACTAAATCTACAGGTACATCAGGTGAAACACTGTTGCTTAACGTATAACACAGCTGCCCCTCACTAAATCTACAGGTACATCAGGTGAAACACTGTTGCTTAACGTATAACACAGCTGCCCCTCACTAAATCTACAGGTACATCAGGTGAAACACTGTTGCTTAACGTATAACACAGCTGCCCCTCACTAAATCTACAGGTACATCAGGTGAAACACTGTTGCTTAACGTATAACACTGCTGCCCCTCACTAAATCTACAGGTACATCAGGTGAAACACTGTTGCTTAACGTATAACACTGCTGCCCCTCACTAAATCTACAGGTACATCAGGTGAAACACTGTTGCTTAACGTATAACACAGCTGCCCCTCACTAAATCTACAGGTACATCAGGTGAAACACTGTTGCTTAACGTATAACACTGCTGCCCCTCACTAAATCTACAGGTACATCAGGTGAAACACTGTTGCTTAACGTATAACACGACAACAACGTACATACTGGTCATTTCAGTCATACCATGAGTATCTACAAGTTCTGTAATAAGCCCTTTCTAAACTAATGAAAGGTTTACCTCTTACCTTTTCAAGCACAAAAACTTATAAACCTTAGCAACAATCAACTGCAAATCGTTGGCCATAGTGGACGCTGTGATAAGATGAGCATGCATGACGGGAAACTTAGTTATCAAGACTTAATATTTATATTAATATTTCTTGAGTAAAGTAACACAAATGTCACAGGTTCAATTGTTCACACAATGTACAGCACAGCACCACTGGCACATTTTACAATTTTTGTCCCTAACAGCTTGCCATACAGATGAGCTGGCTGCCAGCGGTACATCCTGGGCTCTGGCACATGCTGCTCCTGCAGTCTGTGCACTCAGGTGATATAAAAGCTGCATGTGCCATGTGCCCGGCACACACCATGCTGGCAGTGGCAGCCCCTTCATGTAATTTCCTAATTACAGGTACGCAAGTTTGTTTGAATTGTTCATATTATAACAATTTCTCATAATTAAGTCAGGTGTAACCCTGTATTTAAATAATTACATTTAATGGTTTAGTAACCAGGTGGAACCCTGTAGTTAAATACATTTAATGGTTTAGTAACCATTAACTTTCAGATATATAATATTTTATGTAAAATGTCACAATAGTTTTACTTGTTGTATTGATATATGGACACACCATGCTGGCAGTGGCAGCCCTTCATGTAATTTCCTAATTACAGGTACATTTATGGCAGCACGGTTTGACCAACCCTAAATGACAGAATAAAGCGATTGAACACCAGCCCAGAGGTCGTGTTATGAAACCCTGCGACACAAACATTCAACATTTATTTGTTAAGAAAAACGTTAATTCATATTTTACACCACCTATATTATTAGCATAAATGTAAAGACTATTTCTGTGGTTGAACTCTGAAAAATCCTAAGTAGTTGTTTTGTTACCAAATTCTCTCCTGTAAACTGCCCTTTAAATGCAGGGGAAGGTTAAATCGATTGAAATAAAAATTAGGGTACACTATAGGTGAGTTGATATATTGACAACATAGTGCATTTATCACCTTTATAAAGCTATTAAAGGCTAATAAAGCATTTTTCTAGCATTTCCAACAGTACTTTAGTTATCCCTGCTATATCATGACTCTCACGATTGATGTGTTCTATATATGTTAATTTATTACAAGGCAACGACAGCATTTTAAGGTATCACGAAAGTAACCACGCTTTCATCCCTAAATAGTGACTTAACTGTTTAAATTTTTCTGAGGTTTTGAGGGTGCATTTTACCTTTCGGCAATTGTGATCAACCTTACACTGTACAGTTGCTAAGAGGTACCAACCGACTGGCAACACAAAGGACCGAACAAGTTCTGGATGTCATGGAGTATGGTCAGCCAGTCCACAAGATAACTATATTCGCCTGAGATTCACCTGCATCCATGGCAGCTTTCGCTGAAAACCCTGGCTTTCGTCCTGTTAAGTTCAAGAATTGAGCATATCAACAGACCACGCCCTCCAAGCTATACGTCCAATGTCATAGAGCTGCATGGCATGATCAAAACAACATATGAGTTTCTAGGTTGGTTTGCCCTCTTCACAGACAAGTTCAAGGTTTCTCAACAAGGATTGGCGTCGGCGTGTTTATCGACTTTGGTTGCAACGCAAAGCAAATCTCTTAGCATACATTTACATATTAAACTGATAGTAATTTTTCAGTTACTTTCAATATATGCAATACATTCAGATAACAAACAAATATTTCTATAACTTTCTATCATTTTTTCTCTTCAACTATATCTCTGGCTATTATTATCCAGTGCCGTTGTACAGAACACTATTAGCGCTAAGTCTATCGTAAGTCTATGTTGAAGGTATGGGACTTTATGATCTCCTTTGCGCAAAGCTGTTTTGCTTTATTACAACGGCAGCACGCATGTTTTGTTGCGAATGTTACTTCTACACCTCCCATAAAAATCCACGAAAAGAGTGAAAATGTCCAACGCTTCCACAACAAAATGCCAGCCAAATGCCAGCCAATATGCAATGGAATCGCGTCATGTATATCCAAAGTCTGCGTGCTGTGTAATGAAACATAAAAACGTATCGAGTATTTGTGCACGTAACGAATGGTACACTTGTTTGTGGGTCAGTTTGTTGCTAAGGAAACAGCCAAAACCTATTCAGTCACGCGCACGTGTGTTAGTGGCTTGGAGGTGGTGTGCACGCGAACGATGTGTGAGCGTGCGAGGTCTTTATATCCCGCTATAGTAACAGGTCTTTTGTATGAAGTGATTAGGCTAGCTAGCTTCACCGACCCGTCTTGGCAGACAAAAAAATAAATCAGTTGGCCAGTATTAGAAAATAACACAATTCACCTCAGTACGTGCCGCACAGGATAGAACGCACGGGTGTGAATATCTGCTTTGATGCAAGCAGTTATCTCCCTGTAACCTGCCGCCGATAAGTCGGGGCGTAAATCCACCACTTTCAGGACACCTGTTCTTCCTCTGCTCGTCCGGTTGTGTAGGAAAGGACTATCTATTACGCAGGCTGTATGTCACAGCAGGTAAGAGTATGAAGGAACTGGGCAACTAAATATGACATCAAGAATACCACATGTCAGAGTAAATAATAAAGTTCAGACTGCAATAACATAAGGAACCTGTTAAAATATATGTCAATTTCAACCCAACACTTGGTAAATGAATACGATGTAACTCGCAGGACTTGGGGATGGGTGTCACGGTGTTATCGCAGTGAATAGTTACACATTTATCAATGCATGTCCCCATATCGAGGTCAATTTGTTTAACAAACTTGAACAAAGGAAAGACTTCTGTTTGCAATCACAATCAACGAGCTAAACAGAAAGCGAAAGTAGGCATTTTATGTGCGCGTTATGTGACTCATTTTAGAAAGAGAGGTGGGGGCATGAGGAAGAACTGCATGTGGGCTATCATTCCCAACTGCCATTCTTCGTTTTATATATCATTCTTTAATTGCCACCCCCACCCTAACTACCACCACACCACACCTTATCCCCAACTGCCATTCTTCATTTTGTATATCATTCTTTAATTGCCACCATCACCCCAAACCCCACCCCGCCACCACCACCCCACCCCAGCACACCCCTTCCACTCCTAAATAAATAAATAGAAGTAAATAAATAAATGTGATGGCATTTTGTGATGACTGCCTCTCCCTTTAAACATCTAAAGGTGATGTTAAGGAAATAGAAAACGTGGAGATAGTAAAGAAAGAAAGTCATAACCCAGTTTAGAAAAAATGCATAAGTACTCAGTTAAACGCAGTATGTGATGATATCTTTTAACTGTTCTTAAAACTGTGAAATTGTGAAATCACAACATTGAACTAGAACAAATAAAGAGTAGAAGAAATGAGATATACATTTATATATTAAATTTGACAACACAGTCAGTGGTAGGGTTAATGGTAATGATGGCTGTCCGACGTAGTGATGATCCTTGTGAGAGAAGAGTGAGGTGAGTTAAAATTTATCGAGTCACATCGGCAATATTTCAGCCATATCGTGACGAGAACAATTAATTGGTACATAATAGTAAGTAATAATAAAATTATAAAAGCCTGCCTACGAAGGACAGTAAAATAACTAGATTATCACAAAGAATAATTTAAAACTAGTAATTATATCTAAAACAGTTTAACTATAGTTGACAATACAATATAAAACCGGGCTATAGATTGGTAACAACTGAGGTGAATCACCATACTAGGGACCATGGGGACTTACAGTGCTTTTGCTTCCTGCATGGACCCTAGCTGGATTTACACCATCCCTCAGCTATTAGCAATTTTAGATATTCAAACCACAAATTAAAGAACATATATTCTACGATTAAAATAACAGTAGATTTAAATTTACATTGAATGCTTTGGGACTTACAGTACCCTCTCAAGGAGGACAATAATTTTACCCTACTTCAACCCCTTTGAGGGCACAGCCACTAACAATCTCAGTTATTAATCCTAAACTACCAACGATAAAATATTTAACTATTTACAGATCAGTAAAGCAAAT